TAAGATAACAACATGCCTACTGTATCCAAAAAAGGGAAACTGAAGAGAGAAACTCACTTCTCCCTGTGAATGGCATGAACTGGAAGTTTCCTGTATTTGCTCATTTCATTGGCCAGAACATAGTCACAGGGCTCCTCTCAGGCTACAAGCGTAACTGGGAAAAGCAGTCTTCTGACGGGCTATATACTTTGCTAAAACTACTTTTAATACCAAAGGAGGTGGAGAGAAAAGATATTGGGGGATATTTAGCAATTTCTGCTGTAGCTCTTTTTGGGGGGTTGCGATGGGTCTACCTTGATGCCCTCATCAAGAATGGGCTCAGATCCCACCGTGTGATTTTGGGCAAGTGTCTTCACCTCTCCTGAGCCTCTGCTTTCTCAGAAATGGTTTTATGATTCCTGTGTTTCAAGGTCATCAGTAAATCGCTCCATAACACTGAAATACCAGGGTCAGTGTAAGGGCTTGTTAACTGCATGCCGTCAAGGAGGGGATTCATCTTTTCTTTTTTCCCATTGCTTTTCAGAGAGTGGAAGGGAGGGAGAAACATTGATGTGAGAGAGACACATTGATTGGTTGCCCCCGAATGCACCCCAGCCGAGGCTGGGGAGAGCCTGCAACCGAGGTATGTGCCCTTGGCTGGAATTGAACCCGGGACCCTTCAGTCCGAGGGCCGATGCTTTAACCATTGAGCAAAACCGGCTAGGGCTCATCTTTTCTTGAGAAAAATAGAATTAAGGTTTGTTGAGCACTCAACACTTAATGATACTAGAGGCTTTAATCTCCCCAAGTGATCCCCGATGTAGAAGCTTCTATGTTTGGGCCTATTCTACAGAAGGGGAAAACTGAGACCCAGAGAGGTGAGTTCTGGTCCCAAAAGTCATGGGTTGGAACTGGGGAGATTACGATTGAAGAAGCCAAACTTCCAAGGGAGGAAATTACAGGAGGGCCCAGGAAGGCGGAATTTGGGCGGGCTGAGCCAAATAGCTGACGGCCCCCTTCACCCAACTGTCTGATTTGAACATTTACTTTGCATTCCATTTTCTCTAGTGTTTGCCACCCAAAAAGTCAGGCCTGGTGTGAATCACCCAGTCTGTCATTCCCCACTTGCTTTTAGTGGCTGACTCAGATTTTGTGAGGGCTCTGCTCCCGGCCTCCCAGCCATGATGAAGTGAAACTTGGGGGAGGAAAGCCTGAAATTAGATTCTGCGGTGGGGTAGGGCAGGATGGGGTTTTGGAGATTGAGGGTTTTGGAGGCAAGAGCCACCGGCAAATAATTGGACAGTGGCAGTGAATATTTGCTCATCTGACCATTTATTGAGATCCTGCCACGATTTCCCCAGGGAGTGGAGTACAGGAGAGGTGGGTGTGATTGTCCCTTGCTTTCTTTTCAGTTGGAAGTGGAGAGGGGAGCAGCGAATGAGTCATCAAATAAGGAAGCAAGATAACAGGGGAGGTGATGGGAGTATCTCAGGAGAGAGACCTTTGGCCCAGGTGCCAAAGAGGGCCTCTCTGAGGAAATGGTGTTGGAGCCAAGATCTGGAGGAAGGGAAGGAGCTCTCCATGGAAAGAACTGGGTGGAATGGGGTGGGGATGATCTGGGCAGGGGAAACAGCCAGTGCAAAAGTCCTGGGATAAGGCCACATTTGACCTGTTGGAGGAACAGCTAGGAGGCCCATGTAGCTGGAGGGGAATGAGGGAGGGAGGAGGTGAGGGCTGGGAGAGAAGGGCTGGGATCTGAGTCGTGCTCACAGGTGTCCTCTGGTGGCTGCTGCGGGAAGGACAGAAGAGGCCAGGATGGGAGCTAAGGGACTAGGTCAGATGGGCCCATTTCATCCTCCCAACAGCCCCAGGAGCTGGAGAGTGTCATTGTTCCCAATTTACAAATGAGGCAACTGAGGCCCAGAGAGGTGAAGTTACTTATACAAGGTCACACAGCACATATGTAACCTTCAGGATCAGGAGAAAGAGCCAGAGGTCTCTGCTGAACTCTAGCCCATACAGAGACTGAGCAGCCTGTTAATTCATTGTCTTGATTTTTAAATTCTTTGAAATATTTTTGTTAATTTTACTATTCGTGGTTTCTCCACCACACCCTTCCTACCCTGAGAAGACTGGGGACAGATCTGCCTTGGTCACTGTGGTGTTTTCAGAAGCCAGACAGGGTGTGGCACATATTAAGTGGGTGGTAACTGAGTCATTTTGATAGACAGTTATTGAGCACCTGCTGTGTGTGAGCCTGTGGGGGACTCTGGCTACACAGACCTACTTCCTGCAGTGAGTGAGGAAAATGTCGGTTCATCTATCTGCTCATCCAGCCAACATTTATTGAGATCCTACTTGTGCAGGCCCTGTGGGCACAGTGATGACTGAGTAGTTGCCCCTGGAGGTGACTCAGGACAAACCCGTTCTGTCCTTTCAGTGTGCATGGCCCAGTGCCAGAGACAGACTGTTATAGGGTAATTAGGGCTATGATGGGGAAATGTAGGAGGCTGCTGGAGCCCAAAGGGAACCCTTGGTCAGCCTGAGGGGATTGAGAAGCTTCTGGAAGGAGAAGGTAAGCTAAGACCTGAGGAATGAGTCATGGCTTGGGAAAAGTGTTCCTGGAGGTGAGCAGAGTATGGCAAAAGCCTGCAGGGGAGACCACATAGGATAGGGCAACTCCAGGCAGGAGGGCCACAGTTTCCCAGAGTTGAGGGCTCAGCTATAATTCCTGCTGCCTCGGCGCCCCCTGGTGACCACCGCCAGCCCCAAGGTCAGCCCTCCCCACATGGCCCCATAGGCCTGGGTGTTTCCTGGGGAAGTCCCATGTTCCCTTTAGGCCAAACAGCCTTAAAGAAAACTAGGGAAATTTTTTTCAAAACTTTCCCCTTTAAAAACTGTGAAATGTGACTAAATAACAGATACTTGTTTTTTGAGGTCAGTACTGTGTCCCTGCTTGGAATGATGTCTTTCTAAGACGGTTAGATAGTTTACAAATGTTCTCCCACCTTCTGGGCCCACAGAGGGTAGTGCTTTGCCCAGGTCACAGCATATGTGCAGCTGTGACTTGGCTTGGGCAGAACTCGGGGAGGGGAGGTGGGCCGCATTTGAATCTCACAAATTTATATATCCAGCACAGTCTGGTTGTTCTACTGCCTGGTGAGGCACAGAGGAGATGACAGACCTCCCCCGCACCCACCAGCCTCCCCCAAAATCAATGTAACACTACACACAAATGTGCAATCAACAGATGTGTATTTAAAATTATTTTCTGTTGAACAAGGAGTACACTCCCATGGTTCAAAATTCAAAAGGCACCAAAGAGGAATGCGGGTAAAGTTGCCCTCTCTTCCCTGTCCCCAGCCACCCAGTTCTCCATTCCAGAGACGCTACTGATTTGTATTCAGTCCCTGCCCCCACAGTGTGTTCTCCTGCAGCAGCCAGAGGACGCCTCTGAGCACCCAAGTTAGGTCCTGTCTTCCCTCTGTCTACAGCCCTCCAGGGCTCCCAACTCCCTCCCTCAGGATAAAATCCCAAGCCATCCCAGAGGCCCACAAGGCCCTGCATGACTTGCCCCCATCCCCTGCCCTCACTTCCTCTCTCCCCCTCACTCCACGCCAGCCACACAGGCCTCCTCTGGGCCTTTGCACAGACTGTTTCCTCTGCTTGGAACATCCTTCAGCCAGAAACCTCCTCACCTCCTCCAAATCTTTGCTCAAATGCCACCTTCTCAATGGAGGCTTCTCTGAGCACCTTATTTAAAATTCATTTACAATTGCCCCCGCCAGATCCCCCTGACTTTGCTCTATTTTTCCATAACAGCACTTTTGGACAAAATAAATCATTTATTCATTGCCTACATTGTTGTCCACCTTCTCCATGAGGATGTGAATTTTGTCTGTTGACTGTACTGCTGGATCC